GAGAGAGAGAGAGAGAGAGAGAGAGAGAGAGAGAGAGAGAGAGAGAGAGAGAGAGAGAGAGACTGAGTGTGCGTATATAATATAATTCGTGTGCAGTGATGAGCTGAGCGCTCCGGTTTGCAGTGAGTCGTGCCCACGTGCTTTTATATTGAGGATGACCGCATTTATTACAGCTAATTGTAAGAAATACACGCCAAACTGATAAAAGTTATCGTCTGCTGAGACAGAATAAAAAATTTAAACCAATTGATTTATTTATAACATAAAATATTGCCGAAAGGAGAGTTTGCTTATGTGTGTGTGTGTGTGTGTGTGTGTGTGTGTGTGTGTGTGTGTGTGTGTGTGTGTGTGTGTGTTCTAAAATATTGTAAAAAGTAAAAGAGAAAAATTATAATTGTAAGAGTGAACAACTTTGCTTTAAAAAAATAGTCTCCAGCATATACGACTGACGTTATTAAGGAAGAAAGTTCGCATTTTCGGGTAAAAGCGCAGAAAAAATATCGATAGAAAATGTTAGATGCACTATGGGAGATTGGCCTTTTCAGATCCCGTGGAGCTGATCGGTTTCATCCATTACGGATACCCACCTACAAACTCAAGCTTTTTCCGATAACTCTCATCAACAAAAGCCAGTCACCTTTATAGTTCGTGTGAGTTCGTATAAAATACTGCAAACAATAGATTGTTTCATAAATTACTTATTGAATCAAACGCAAAAATATTATAATAACTTACTTTTGAAATTATAATATTTAACATAGGCTACGATATTGGCATGTTACACATACGTACATATATTATTATAGGAAATATTTGTTACATATTTATATATATTTTTTTTTGTATTATATATGTATACGCATAATGTCGCGGTTTACCTCTGTGTGTGTGTGTGTGTGTGTGTGTGTATGTGTGTGTGTGTTTGTGTGTGTGTGCGTAATATACAACAGCAACATAGTATCATCACGTGAACAATTTTTTAGTTAGCTTCTTGATTTTGTATAATGCGTGCAACGAATTTATTTTTATCAAATAACAGTTTATTACAATAAATAATTAAAAAATAAAATAAAATATATCTTTCTAATGAATAGTATTATTTTTTTATTGAATTGATCTATTTTCATAGAATAACATTACTTTTAAAAATTAATTTTGTTTAGTCCATTACATGAAAACTGCACAGATAGCAAAAGATTAAAATAAAAATACAGCTAATAATATTATTGTTTAATATTATGTTCTTTTAATTAATAATCTGTTTTAAATTATTATGATCAATATGTTTGAAAACAGAATGTGACGTCATACACAAATAAGCTAGGATTGTGTAAAGTCGGGTCTCGCCGTCTCTTGTTACACAATCTGCTTACTGAAATCTCCTAACAATCTCGATGCATATATCCTGTTGTGTAAAATGCATAAAAATTGTTCATGCAAATTTCATAATAGAAGTTTTTTATATTAACAAATTAGTATGGCTCATATGTGTTAAACACAAATTTCAAGAAATAAAGGACTCAGAGCCGTGACAGGGTGGTAGTGTCTAAATATTTTATTCTAAGTGTATTGCGAAAAAATATCACCTCGGCCAGGCTTTGAACCTGGATCTCCCTCTCGCTGGGCGGACGTCTCAATCAATTCGACCACCAAGGCACATGACAATACTCATCGCAATAAACAATCTAATGTTGATTCCCGAGTGCCACCTATCGTGACAGTATGACAAACCCTGGCCGAGGTGATATTTTTTCGCAATAAACTTAGAATAAAATATTTAGACACCACCACCCTGTCACGGCTCTGAATTCTTTATTTCTTGAAATTTTTTATATTATTTTATATTATTTCGATATTATAATAATAGTACTAGCTAGAATAGATTAAATTGCCTCTAAATTGAAGTTTCTACGATATATTGATCAATGCTGTCCACAGATTCGCTGAACATGCTGACAAGTATGGAAAGGACGTGTCTGCTTTTGATTGTGCTTTACATTTTGCCCAATGATAAGCATGTTTATGCCGAAACCTTCACTCTGGGGTATATCACCGGCTCAAAAAGACGTCTTGACGATTTTGAGTACCAACGTCCCGGTTTCAGAATATCTGGTGCTATAACGCTCGCCGTCGAGCAGGCGAGTATTCTTGTCCACCACTTTCTCCCCCGCTGTAGTACATTTCCGATAAAATATTTTTCATGTATACGCATGTATAAATATGTGGAATTATATAAAATTATGCATAAAACATGCTTATGCATGAAAAATTTATAATCGGGTTTTAATTTTTATCGGGTTAGTAGGTCGTATATCTGCATGACTAAAAATCTGTTAAATTTAATTATCTGTTTCCGCATTAATTATGATTGCTATTATTACCCGATAAAAAATTAATACATTATGTATCAAATATGCTTCTGCATGAAAATTTTTTATCAGAGGAAATTTTTTAATATTATAACAGCAACCATGATTAGTGTGGCGTAATTAATGCGGAAACAGATAAATTTAAAAGATTTTCAATCATGAAGAAATACGATTATCCCATTATCTGATTAAACGTTATTTATACGAAACTGGAACGACTTAAGATGTAAAATAGTGTTTTCAGTTCATTCTTAAAAATTATATCCTTACTCTCATGAAATCAGTAACAATTCACTGCTTTTCAATGATAATCCACTGATTGTGAGTGACATTAAGAGAGTACCATTGCGTAAGTAAGAGGTTACACCAGTTTAGAATTTTAAAAAACGCAAAATTTGTTTTCGCTGAAAATGTACTTTATAGTGTTAAGAATAAGATACACTTGGTCCTAAAGCGTATAAAAAGTTATTAACAAAGTTATATAATTGTTTTAATAAATACCCATTTTTTTAAATAATAAAATATAAAGTATATTTAATATAATAGTTTCGATTTTGCATAATTAGTCTATAATAATCGTATACATTTTTGTATTGTTACAGTTTAATATATATAGTTACTAGTTAGCGATGTACAACTTTGCTGTTGCGACTCGTATCAGTGAGTGACATATTACTTTTTATTTTAAAGTGACGTTGCGCATATAATTACTTCTCTCTCTCTCTCTCTCTCTCTCTCTCTCTCTCTCTCTCTCTCTCTCTCTCTCTCTCTCTCGCTCGCTCGCTCGCTCGCTCGCTCGCTCGCTCTCTCTCGCTCTCTCTCTCTCTCTCTCTCTCTCTCTCTCTCTCTCTCTCTCTCTTCGCGTGTGTACAAATTCTTAAAAATACACAATGCTTGACCACAAACAGCGCGCGCAAAGCGCGCGTTCTGTCGTATCTGGTATTTATTTCTAAATTGTAAACCTTCATTTACTCTGAACCTAAAAGAGAAGTGAAGCACACCGCGCTTCGAGAAAATCAATCGACATCGCGGAGAAGGGCCTTAACTGTTCGATATTAACGACATTCGCGCTGGTAACATCTCTTTTTTAGTAAGGGACAAGCGCGCGCCATTTGCTCTCTCTACAATTTCGCATGGTTTGACAGCTGCAAATAACACGACTGAAGCATGTCGTATCGCACAAGCGAGACAGCCAATCAGCATCGCGAAAAAGCGGCAACAATACTTCGAGATATGCGACTAATCGACTTACATGCCTTTTTTAGAAGTGGAGAGTGGGAACGATTGTATACGACAAGTTTTGGTCACAAAATTGCCTTTTCTTCAGAAGCTTGCCATTTCCAAACCAACCGTCATTTTTTAAATTCCCTACGTATTTCTCTAGCTATTTTCATAAAAAAAGCAATTTTTTGTTTCTTGTTCTAGGACAAAATTTGTGGAAGTTATGCTGCAAGCCCCGGAGCTCCTCTCGCAGAGCAGCCATCCAGTGACCGGACCCTCACACTGCCATTTTTAATAATAAATGCGCAAAAAAATTAATTTTTATACTTCAACATATGTATAATAAGACCATGAAATTAGTTTTAATATTATGGGGAGGCTGGAGTGATAGTTAGGTAACCTATAACTTATTCGAGTGAATAGATTTTTTATTAGGCTTCTAAACTTAATTTCAATGATACCATGCTGTTCTTTGATTTAGTCCGATTAATGGTACACTGTCCATCTGTACACAAAAGCCACATAATTTGTATATTACACAAATGTTTTCATGAATTGACAGTTCTAGGAGTAAAAGGTCCAAAAGTGCAGCATCACTCCAGAATCCTCTTAAACTTTGTTTTACATACAAAAAAAATTCCCGTAATTACCCTTGCGCACGACTGTCTCTCTCTAGACTGGTGTAACCCCTTAAAACAAGTTAGATTTAGAAAGAGCTTTTTGAATTGTTAGAAAAGAGAATTTTAAAACACTAATGTAGTTATATACAATTTATATTACGAAAAATATTACTGCAGATAATTTTTTATTTCAATTATCATTTGATATTTTTGTAGGTAAATGCCGGTGAACTCGGTAGACGAGGGCATAATTTAGAAATTCTCGTGGGCGAAACGTTTGGCGAAGAAGAAACAAGTATTCTAGTCACAGCTGAATTATGGAAAAAAAACATTTCGGCATATATCGGTCCGCAGGAAACTTGTATTCACGAGGGCAGAATGGCAGCTGCGTTCAACATTCCCATGATATCTTACGTAAATAATTTTTCGTATTATTGTAAATCATCGTTAAGTGAAATACAGGATGAATCATCTAACTCATGACGACCTTAAATAATAATCATATCATGAAACACTTACCATATGAAATTATTGAAATAAAAGTTGCATAATATCAATGGGAACAGAAATTATGACATCATCTTATGTCCCTCTTGATACTTGCTTTAGCAACAAGTTTTGTTGGAAGAATGTTTTCATATGGCAACCATAGACATAATAAGAATAGACTGCGCGTTCCTTATATTATACGCCTATGATAGCAACTATTTTATGATTTATTTAAGGTTGTTAAGTTAGCTGGTTTACCCTGTCATTTCAATGTGCTGTATTCAAAATTGAGAAAAGCTTTTCTTATTCGTTATAATAAAATGTTTTCTCCCTTGTTATGTAACACTGTTATCTGATTATAGAAATTCTACAGAAGTGTATTAATTGATAAGCTCCTTTGAGACAAAATTAATAATTATGATAAGGGCGATAGGAGCATATGACGATAATGTGACAAATGATATTGTGTTTATAAAGAGATGGAAAGAGACAAAACACGAATGTTAATTGTTTGTCAACATAAATATCGATATGTTTAATATGATGTCATATAAACACAATATCAACTATCGCCCTTATAATTATTAATTTTCTACAGAAGTGCTTAGAAATAGAACACTCTTCTTATTTCAAGCTCTTTTTGTTATGCAATTTTTCTTTGATTACATTGGAAATTAATTTCCATGGAGTAAATAAGAAATCTAATGAAACAATAGAAATCGGTATTATATTTATCAACTAGCTTAAACAGATATTGAGGAAACAAGTTAAAAAAATAATTAATCACAAATGCAATCTGCTGGTCAGACTGAATCTTACAAGGAAAAGATCGAAAGTGTCCACTTGGATGAGCTTCTAATGTTATTTTCCTGCTCAAAATATAAGACACGTGTTGTTTTTATACGTGCCCACACGCACTTTTAAGGGCTAAAACACCCCATTGAAGAAAATCGGCTTTTTTCGCGAAAAATATTATCTCAGTCTTTTTCGCAATAAAATTTTCGACAGTTATTTAAATTTCAATTTAATAGGCATTAAATTTATTAGGCATTAAATTTACTAGATATTGAATTTAATTTATTAAGCATGCTTATAAGCATTGAATATTCAATCGATTTATCGATTTTAAAGATGTGAATTAACTGCTCTAACCAATTAGCTGGTTTCAAGATCGACAAAAAATCGGCACATAGTTAGGATTTAAAAAACAGAAATGCACGCAAAATTATTATTAGGCTACTAATTGCAAGACCCAGTCTGATCGGCAGATGGTATTTTTAATTAATTGATTGGTGTATCCTTCGCGGTCTTATCTCTCTTAGGGCCAATTTCACAAACGTTGGTTAACTGTTAACCAGAGTTCAGTCAACGCCCTATCTTTTTCTATCTTGTTTTCTAAGAAGAGACAGAGGATCAGTTAACCTTCGGTTAGCAGTTAACCAGGGTTCAGTCAACTCTCTATCTTTTTCTGTCTTATTATCTAAGAAGAGACAGAGAATCAATTAACCTTTGGTTAGCAGTTAACCAACATTTGTGAAACTAGCCCTTTATATTGAATAAATTTATTCTATTTAATTAATCATTTTTCTACTGCACAAATGTTTTCAAACAAATCTTGTTGTACTTTCTAAGTGTTATGGACAAAGCTTTCCCTATTGTATTTTTTGCATTGTATTTGCATTGTATTTCTAGTTTTGCACGCATAACGAAACATCAAATAAGAAGGAATTCCCGACATTTGTGAGAACACGGCCACCCGATACGCAGATCGTAAAGTCGGTCGTTGCAGTGTTATTAACATTTAATTGGACAAAAGTGAGTATTTCGTAATTCACTCTATTAAGTGCAATTCTAATGAGAAATTAATGTGATATGACACGTCATAAATGTTGTAAACATTTTAGGTAACTTTCCTGCATATGAATTCGACAGTTTTCGAATTTAACAAAATGTCCACGGTTGCGACGACAATCCTAGCGTCTTTCGAAGCAGCTGGAATTACCGTAAATTATCGTCGTTCGTGGAGTGAACCGTATCACGTAACTCATATGGAAAATCCTTTTCATGAATACGTCAGACAAACGTATCGTGACACACGAAGTAAGTAGGTATACATATAGTTTACATTACGTTGTAAAGTTCTTTAGAGTAAATCATTGGCTGCGTTCAGCAGAAAAAGCTGCTTTGCAACTGTTGTAAAATTCGTGAGTCTGATTGGCGTATTCTTTTAATGTTGAGTGAATTTAAGAGCATACGCCAAGCAGATTCACGAATTTTATAACAGTTGCAAAGCAGCTTTTTCTGCTGAACGTAGCCATTGAAATTTTGTTACTGGAACAAAAGAATGACTAAATATCCCAGCTAACAAGACAACGTCGAAATGACGTGAAAAATATGCGATTTTGATGGCAATAACGTCATATGACTTCAATGGTACGTAATTTTGACGTCACTTTAAATACTAAAATAGTACGTCATTACTGTTACGTCAAAAAAACGTACCATTAACGTCGAAGATATGAATGTGTTTTGTATGCTCAAATAATGACGTGGCATTGTTCGCGCGTTGTATATTTTAATGAGATTTTTTATTTCTTAATTATTATAAGCTATTATAAAGTATTATAAAAACAATTAACAAAAAACTATAAATTATAGTCATTTTGACGTACTTTGATGTTAAATTGACGTTAAAATGACTAATTTTGCTATAGCATGTTTATTGATTGTTAAACCCAGAAAGAGAAATTTTTATCATAGCGGGATTTTTTCATATTTAAATTTTTTATGTTTCAGTTTACGTGATACTCGGACATTATTATGAACATATGGGGCTTTTAATGGCTCTGGACGAAATGAATCTCTTGGAAAAAGGTATAAATTTGTTGATTAATCAGGTACTGAAGAGTAGATCTGTATATTAATTGCAGAGTATTGAGTATGAGATGACCTTCGTTTCTCATAGTGATGTGGACTCCCAGGTGAAGAAAATCTCTTAGAAATCTTAAAGTATAATAGATCTTTATTCGTAACAGGGCGTACGCTGTCGTGGATCACTCATCGGTGGTCGGCGAGAAACTGCCTGTCTCAGACTAACTCTGATCTTAACTCTGACTTTGTAACTGTGTAGCTTCGCCTGTTCCACATCGCACCTGCTATATATACCCAGTGAGAACTGATTGGTCGAAACGATGTCGAATCGACGTCGATTGACGAGTCATTTCTCGCTGGAATACTATAGGGCTATAGGTCCTTCGTGGAAAAATCCCGAAACCGCACCCCTGATAACTATAATGTATACTCTTAACTATCTTTCTTAAGCTGATTCACCTTGCAAGTGGTTATATATCTCTGCGTTCTAGAACGTCCGTCTCATCAGCATCAAATGTTTGATCATTTACTAAGAAAGTAAATAGGAAACTTACAGAAAACTTCCTATGGCCCTACATAATTTTAATTGAAGTTCAATAACTTCGAAGCTTCAAAGCTTCGAAGGACTTCAAAGAAACGAAGGAATCTTCGCAGATACGAAATTTCAAAGGATCGAAGCTTCGAAGTCTCGAAGGACTTCGAAAGAACGAATCTACTGTTAGTTATACGGGTAGTTAGTACCCAATACGAGTAGATAATCCAGCTCGAATACCAGAAACACCGACAGCACGATCCTCGGACTTAAAATTGAAGGGAACCCCGAGGATGCTATCGGCATTTCTGGTATTCGAGTTGAATTATTTGTAAGTTAGTCGACACGATCGCGCAATCCTTGATATTTCGTAAGTGGCACAGTGTCGCCACTCGTTTCTTACAATGTCATTGTTTATTTGATCTTATTCATTTTAAACGCTTACAAAATCGGGGCACAAAAAACGATTTCTCTCTATAAGCGCGTTTATCTTCCTTAAATAAAATTATCTAACTATTTTATATTGCAGGCGAATACTGGGTTGTCGGTATTGATATCGAGCAATACGATGAAAAACAGCCAAACAAGTATCTTCGTGGATTGTGGCAGAAGGAGACAAACCTATCAATCGTGAAGGCGTTTCGCAGTTATTTTAGCATTGTTGCATCCGCCCCGATCAATGTCAAGAACTTCACCAGACTCGTTAATAAATATAGACAAAAGCCGCCGTTTAATTTTACGAATCCGTTGGAAAATTTTGGAGGAATAATTCAGGTGAAAAACCGTTTGCTATCTCGAAAATATAATTGCTACTAAAACATTTTATACTGTCATATGTCATAATATAATTATTCCAAAAACAAGATGGCGGTGCCGTTTTCTCCACTCCGTCTAGCGCGTTACTTTTACCAGGTTACGCGGTGTCTACAATGTGATTTCAAGACATAAGTTTAAAGTGATTGACTAATCACAGTCGTATGTAAGGAAACTAATTAATTGCGATTGCCTGTTTTCTTAAATCTTGCATATTAAAATCTCTTTGTAAACGCCGCGTTGATAGACAGGCGCGCGGCGCGGCGTAGACTGACTGTTTCTCACCGCGTTCAGCCGCTAGCAAGCGTTTAGAGTGAGGAAAACGGCATGGCAGCACCGCGATCTCTGTACTAATTAAATCGTTTTATGTACAGATTGTGCCAGAAACCGCATATTTGTACGACGCGGTGCGCCTTTACGAGAAATCGCTGCTATGGGCCCTAGATGAAAACCGTAATCCAAGAGACGGTAGAGAGATAATTGCAAAATTATGTGGTATTAATTACAAAAGTGCGATGGGGTATGTATGAGGAAATCTGAGAAAAAGGTGTGAGCGTAATCGCTTGTTGTATGTACACTAGAAATCCCCGATGCCTTCCCATATGAATTTAGGCACAGGTAGAACACATACACATTTTTTATGTATGATATTGTATATGTAAAATGTATAAATGTGTTGATATGTGCACACAAATTCACGTGGGAAGACATCAGTGATTCCTATACTGTACACCGTAATATTTCAATTCATCTCTGCTAGGTACAGTGTATATTTGGATAATAACGGAGATGCCGAAGGAAATTATACTTTAATTGCATTGGATAAGCAGCCAACCAAAGGCTACGGACTGTATCCGATTGGGCACTTTATTGGAAAAGAACAGAATTTACCCGTAAACAAACTATCTTTCTTATCATAATATTTTACCTGTGTTTAGAACGGAACAATATTTGTCATATTAATATTATATTAATGAACTACTATCAAAACACAATAGTGTAATATAAGACTGCTATTCCATGTACAAGATCGTTACACCAGTTTGCTGACAGCGAAAGCTAATTAGGTCTCTTTGGAGGAACATTTTCGGGCGTCAACCCATGGCTTATTTCCATCAATTATCGTTCATCACATGTTATTTTGCTAATTATTATCATATACTGATAAATATTCAAAGCGAGGACCGAAACGTCTATTATTTTGTAAATTCTATCTTAATGTTTTGGCATCACGTATTGTATTTTAAATTTATGTATTACATATTTGACTCCCACATGCCTTAGTTTCTTCTTTTCTGTTACTGATTATTGGAGTCCTCAATTTTAGTTTTTTGTGTTAATATCTGTATTTGAAATGAATTGAATAAACTGAGTGTAGTAACTTAATATCTGTATTTGAGTTCAATTGATTAAATGGGCTTATTATTCTTGATAATAATGTTTAGAAGCTGCGGTTAATTAAAGAAATATCATGGATTGGAGATCACGGCCCACCGGTTGCAGAGCCATATTGCGGGTACAGCGGTAAAAAATGTAATTGTGAGTAAGATATATGTAAATTTATTATGCAACTGTTATTATGCAAATGTGTGTTATCCAATTAATTATTCACATATATAAAGTTTTTCAAAAGTCATTTTACACAATACTTGAATCAATAAATGGTGTAGAAATTCTTCTTCATAATTCGAGTTAATATCTGTTCATAGCTCATACCGGCGAAATTGTGGGAGGTATCACCGGCGCATTACTGCTCATTATCGCAGCAGTTCTTTTTATTATCTATAGAAACTGGAAGTACGAGCAAGAGCTGGACAGCTTACTGTGGAAAATCAGTTTCAAGGACATACAGATTAAGGAGCAGAAGGATGAAACAATGAGAGCTGACGAAACGCTTGCCAAATGCAACCCCACAGTAAGGCTTGTCTAACGTATCGTTACTGCTATTCTCAAGAGAATCTATGTTCCTTTTGTATAATATATTTACTTATATATTATATTGCCATCATTTTCTCCAATTGGATTGAAGACAACTAAAATTGCTTACATGTGCGCAAGATTTATTCCAATTCCAAATTTTATCAAAAGTTTAGCGATGCTATTGTGCAATACATGATTTTTAATAGAAAATTTTGAACTTATTATACAATTAGAGTTATATTAATTATATTAATATAATAAATTTTTTGTTACAAATAATATTTTTAACAAACCACAATTATATAAAATATATAAACATAAAATACATTATGGTTTGTTTCCTCATAAAGTCATCAACGACACAACCCATGCGAACTAGTCAAGTGTCGCTAAGTTCTAATCCAGACGCTGATTTCCGATATTCTACTATTTACACGCCAATCGGAATATATAAAGGACAGATTTTTTCAATAAAAAAAATCGGGAAGAAATCGATCGAAATCACTCGGGAAATGAAGAAGGAACTAAAAATGGTAAAATTTGCAAAGTCAATAATTTTAATTTAATTTATAGTTGCAGTATAATAACAGTATATAACAGTTACTAAGAATTCATAGTGAGATCTCGTTTCTTATCAAGGCAATATATTTTCAGATGCGCGACTTAAGACACGATAACTTAAATTCGTTTATCGGTGCATGCACTGATCCGCCTAACATATGTATTATCGTTGAATACTGTGCACGTGGTAGTCTTAAGGTTGGTAATTTGTTAAATTAATGTAATCACTATTTCATATACATATATATTTAAATTCGTAAATATTACCGCATTATGTTAATTTTGGTAATTTTGAATTTCTAAGGATATACCCAGTGAAATGTTTTTTTCAGGATATATTGGAAAACGAAAATATAAAGCTCGATAACATGTTTATGGCGTCTCTCATTGGCGACATCATTAGAGTAAGCTTTAGTAAATGTTATTTATACATTAATAATATTTTTACAATTTTCAGAAAATTTGCTCGTTAAAAAATCACTTTTAAAAGGAAGTTGATTAGTCATTGAAAGTCACGATTATTCGATTTTTTAAACTTGAAATAAGTGGCTATTTTAATTTGACTCTTAACCTCTTAACTTAATTTTCAACTTTGAAAATATCTTTATTTCGAAAAATATTATTATTGTTTTGAGTTTTGAGAACAATATATTTTCTATTTTTGGCATTTTTAAAAATCTCACACAAGCAGTAAGAGAAAATCGTTTGTAAATACTTTTAATTTATTATTTACAAAGAGAAATAGATAACTGAGAACTATGTCAACTGAAGCAAAATTTATCAATATCCACCATGGTAATCACGAAAAGATACATTGAAAAAAAATTTGCAATTGCAGCGACAATTTTCTTCGGAAAAATTAATAAGACATAAATGAACAGTCAATACGAAATCGCATATATTTCATCTCTAATCAAGTTAAATAACAGAGACAGAATTTATGTATAAACTGTTGGTGATAGTTAGGAAACAATTTTTCTGTTGGCCATCCATATAAAGTTTATATAAAGCGTCTGAATTACTAAGCTCTAGTCGTCTCGGAGAACTAACCGTTTGTAATTTTCCAAGAGAATATCTGTATTCATTCACCATAGTATTGCATAAAGATTGTATAAAGACATCAAGGATGATACATTCGGTATTATAGAACTGTCAGCAGCAGTTTTGGATCAAATCGATTATAATGAACACGCGTGATTTTCAGTGGAAATGAAAAGTGTTTTACTTACTCGTATATCTTCGAATCGTTAGCAAATGAAGTGACGATACTTATCAGTAACACAAACCTATGTTGTTATTACATCCCCGAGAAACCTACCAAACTTCGTAATGTTTTTAGGGTATGATCTACCTTCACGAATCAGTCATAAAATATCACGGATCGCTAAGCACGACAAATTGTCTCGTGGATTCTCGATGGGTCGTAAAATTGGCAGATTTTGGCCTTCACGAATTCAAGCGGGATGCGGAATGCGATCCCTCCAAGATCATGAAAAAATATCACGGTAAGCAGGTAAAAATAGTAATTTTTAGACTCACTTTCTACCTAATTCTCGTAGTCCTAATAGTTGCCAAATCTTTGTTCATAATAATTATAAATTGAGAACTATACAGGGTGTTATGTAATACCCGCATCAACGCTTATTGTGGGATAGACTGGACTAGACTAAATCGAAAAGTCCTGTACCACTTTGCAGGTTTTGCAATAGTTAACGAGTTATTAATTATTAAAAATCGCTATCTTAGGCCGGCCCACTGCCCAATTCAAACGTGCGGCGAGATCGATCGATCGTTACAACTCTCTGCGCGCCTAGTAACGATCGATCGATCTTGCTGCACGTTTGAATTGGGCAGTGGGCCGG